GAGAAACTCCCAGCAGTGTTTGGTTAGCTTAGCGTAGCGTAGCACACCCACAGACTAGATAAATAAGACACAATATGTTCATTTGTTGACTCTGCGGATGCTTTTAGGCAGATGTAGTTACATTCCAAGCATCCCCTGCTGCATGCTTAAAAAGCAAATATGCAAGAAGGATCGGCATATCTACTGCAAGAGACAACAGCACTACTGTGACAGTTGAAAGAGATAGGTAGTAATTGTGTTTTTCTATTTTCAAAAAGATTATTTGCCTGTTTTTCAAAAGATCTGCAATAAAGTTCTTGATTACCTCGGCATAATTGATAGTGAAGTGTAAAGCATGACTTCTAAAAATGGGAAGCACTTTCTTAAAGTTAAGGTTGGGAAACAGAGATTCTCTCCAAGTACTGAACTTTTCATGGCCTTTCACACCCAAACTGGTCTATTTCTAGAGTATCCGTTTAATCCCACCCACCCATCTTTGGCCTCTCCCTGTTGAATCAGCCAGTTTGCTTTGCTTTGGGCAGCTTTTGGTCAAAGGGAAACAGAGAGGAGAGTTATGAAATGTCTGGCAGTAGACACAGCCATGTCAGAGGTATGAAACAGGAGCAGGCATGGGGGGGAGGGAGATCTTCAGCTGAGCCTCTATAGTAAAATGATCTGATCAGGAGATAGGCAGATGAGGGTCACCTCACCTTGACCAGCCTATCCACTGAGCTGCACACACCAGTTATGTAACAGATATACTTAACGTTTCCTATTTATGACACGGAGGTTACAAATCAACTCACATGACATGTCCACAGCCGATGTGGAGCTTTGATGGTGGGTAAAGAGGGTCGACAGGAAGGAAGACACGAGGAGCGATATGGGGCAAGCTTATCGTACAGTGAGGAAGACAATGGATGGATGACAGTTAATGTTCCACTAACCTGAAATAACCTGCCATTCCACTCAAACCTGACACCTGTCTCCATTCACTGTTGGGGTTTCAAATTATTGCTACATTAGATAAGAACAGAACCAGAAGCAGTAGAACCATTTTCAGCAGGACACGCCTGAACATAGGTAACCGGATGACCTTGAATGTACAGTGTGGCCTCAGAGGAATCAGCCGTCGTTCCAACGGTTGAGTTACAGTCTGAAACTGAAAATGTAAATCAGGCTATAGTGCCTAAAAACTGCTTTGGAGCAAATAAGTGAGGCTGCATGCTGTCATTAGAAGGTGCTGCTACGTTACACAACAGAGGAGAAGATGCTGGACCCAAAAGCAGTTGTTTTCCAAATTGCTAAAAAAAACCTTGGAGAAAGAACAAACACAATTTTGTCTATCTCCGGCATAAAAATGTATAGAAGTCTTCAGGAACTGTAGTTGGTAAAGTGGAAATGGTTTCATGTGAGCTGGCATTGGTCATGTTTGATGTGACGAGGAAAGCAAAAGAAGCAAAAGCATATGAGCAGTCATGAGAGTTCTATGTTTACGCTTCAGAAATTATTTGAAAAGAACTGTTTCTAACCACCATCATGTTCATTAACTGTTTTTCAAAAAATCACCTCAAGCTAGCATAAAAGCATTTTTAAAAAAAGTTTCAAATGCAATCCTAAAAATACCGGACACATTAAAGTCCTGCTGTGGCTATGTCTAAAGACAAATAAATCCTACAAATAGCTTTAAAGCACACTCGTTCACATATTATATCTTATCTGTTTAAAAAATATTGAAACCCAAGTGTAAAACAGCAGGCCAAGCTAGCTGTTTACTGCTATGTCCAGTCTTTTGGCTAGGCTAAGCTAACCACCCTGTGTGTGTAGCCGTATAAATACTGGACCTGAAAGTCGTATTAATCTTCTGATTCCCACAATGTCAAACTATATATTTGAAGCTGAATGCAGAGAGGAAGAGAAAAAATATGTTTTTCCAACATTAAAAAAAAAAATCCAAAATAGTTCAGTATTGTCCTTTTCTATTCCTTAACAATAAACTGTCAATGCTAATTAGCAACGTAGCAGTCAGTAGGAGCTGGTGGTGAGGCTCCTAGACTGTTATTAAAGTTATACATTTGTTTTTCCTCTTTCAAATATCTATGCACCCTGTAAAACTCTGTACAGGGATTTAGTAGAATTAACTCATATTTTCTCATTAACGTTCAACTACAAGTTAATTAACTTCAATTTCTACCTTTTATTGTCAGACTGCCTTAAAACTTGTAAAAGTTTCCAAATTAAAGTCTTTTGACTTGAGCTGAATTAAATTAATTGGCCTTCCAACTCATTAAAATAGGTTTTTTAAATTAACAAGCTCACCATATTAGCAAATGTCCCAGCATGCATTGTTTCTCCAGAGACCTTTTGCTGTTGTTGTAATTTGACTGAAGCATGCATGATGGAAACCTGCTGTGTATCTGTAGTGCCACGTCAAGATAAATCATGGTTGTTTCTTCTCATAATAATGAAAACTATATGAACCATGATGAAGGTTATCAGATTCAGTCCCTACCATTGTGCATGGCTAACTTGATTCCTGCATGCTGACTTTGTTCTGACTCCGTTTCAACTACCTCTTCATGAGTAAATATGACTTGAAAGAAAATCTGTCCCAAATCAACATTTGAGTCAACTTGTGAGGGAATAATGTATAATCTGCGTGGGATGATATAAAGGACCAACCCAGCAATATCAAACTGCATTTTCATGAAGACAGAGCTTGTGAGAGACAAAATGTTTGAAGCTGTTCCTACCTTTAGTTTCTAATAAAACCCAAAAATGTTGATCCTACATTTCCTAAAATGCATCTTTAACTTTGCCTTTCCTGCCACAAACACACGCTTTTAATGGTTTTTGTGTAAAATTTGACACAACTGAAATCTAAATAGTCTCAATTGCATTTATATGAGACAATTAGGGTTGGATTTTGAAAAGCAAGTCAGAGAAGACATTGACAAGTTTTACCAGGCCAAGTCGTACTCCTCAAAGTAAACTGAGATTGTGGAAAGAACACCCCTTTAATAAGGCTGTAAACATGTCTAAGGTTTTCTTCCGCTATTGTTAAAAACAAACAAACAAAAAAAAACAACTCTCCTATCAACTAGCATCACAAAAGCAAGAACCCTTCCTGATCATCAATGACCGATCCACGACAGCACGAGTATTGCTTGTATATTTTATTTTATGTACAGTACATGTAAAAAAGAAAACAAAAAAAAGGTAGCCAATAACATTGACCAATGTGGGAAACAGTAGACAGCCATGTTGCTCACACACGGGAAAATCCTGACGACCGTTTCCCCTCTCAGGCATACATACATATAGACTCTCGCGCTGCTCGTTGTGTAAGGCTGCCTGGAGACTAGCTGCGCTTGACAACAAACAGTCAAACCGCAGATTATCAAAATGGGAAGAGTGCATTACCTGCTCCCCTAATAAACACACCTCTCTCGCCGACGGAGAGCCTTGTTTTTTGAGCCTCCATCTGAACAAAAGGGGTTTCCAGACAGGCAGAAAGGAGACGGGCTGGTTGGCTGAGCGTGACTGTGTGCAATCTTCGGTTAAGTTTTTAATACAGACCAGGCTGCACTTGACAGCCGTGGTCTCTAGCCTTCGCTGGCGTCCCCCCCACCCCTCCACCCACCCCCTCCCCTTAATCCAACAGTGCTGCTTTCAACATAAAGGTCACTAAAGGTCAGCGTTGCAGTCTGCGTTTGCCTGATGACTCAATATAACTGAAGGCTCCAACTAGTAGCAAAGCGAGCTTTTCTTCAGCACACTCAGCAGTTGAATTCACAGTATTCTTACAGCATGTGTTTTTTTTTCTTCTTCTCCCAAAGTCACTCATAAAGCTTTAACTGATAATGCATAGGGGGCTTTGACACATTTGTTCACCCATGGTTCTCCAGTGGAAATGTTTTTTTTTTTTTGTAGTGTGTGTGTGTGTAAGCTGAGAGAGAAACGCACCCAAAAAAATGGGAGAATACAGTGTACACAACCATCTGTGTCTGGTGTCCCCAAAGTCGTACAATAAAATAAAATAAAATTTAAAAAAAAGATTTTTTTTCTTTTTTTTCTTTTTTATCTCCAAGGCCATGGATAGTCAACCACAAAAGACTTCTGAACTCCCCTGCTGCCTATCAGAGCTGTATGTCGCAATAGTGTTTCAGACAGTGAGCATACAGCAGGCCACCAAGGTACAGATAAAGTGCTTTTTTCTTAAACGTGATACTTTAAATAATTAAATGTAAAAATGGTTCTTAGGAAAGAAAAAAAAAACAACAACAAAGAGCTGGAGGGGGAAGGGGGGCGGGGGACGTGACGCTCCTGAAGTTAAAAAAAAAAAAAAATGAAATGGAAGAGAGACACACAACATGATTCTGGAGAGGAATAGAGTTCAGTATAAATACATCCACAAATCCAACTAATGTCGCAGAAAGGCTACGAGGATGGAACACTGATCGTCTAGAAGAGCTGGAACAGTCACTACTGTCTCTGGATGGAGCCGTTCACATTTTCAGAAGTAAGAGGATTCAGGGTAAGACTTCTTAAACGGTGGTAAAAGGTCTCATGTCCAAAAGGAGTGGTGGAGGAGGAGGAGGAGGAGGAGGAGGGGTCCATGAAGATGCCACCAGCTCTCCCTCTGGCTGGACCTCGCAGCGAACACATCGGTGGTGGTTGGCGGCGAAGACCGTGATAATGACAGCAGCAGACTAGGAGGTTTTTGCAAGACTGTAGTAGAAAGGTGAACTTACTGGATCACAATAAACCTTTACAGACAATAAATACATTCGGGTCCTTGTAGTGTTGTTATTCGGCTCTATTGAAATATGATTAAATCTAGAAAA